AAAGTGAGCCATTCACTACAGAGCTATGAGTTCAAAACAATTCACTTCAGTCCTCAAAGTGAGCCATTCAAAACAGGATGAAGCTGAAAGGTGTTCCTGCATGAGGGAATTCTCAAATTAACACCCCAACACTTGGGCTCCTGTTCAAGTTTATACATGCCGGCTCGATGAGGATGTTTTGTGTGGTCGAGAAAAATGGATATTATGTAGTTAGAATAACAAACAAAGGCACAAGAGTATTGTTAAAACTGACCTGAAAATATACTGCAAGTACAAAAAGGCCACATTCATCAGTGCTTCAGGCAACATTCACATGTGGATATCAGAATTTGCTCTTTTCTTTATTTCCTTGTATTTCTTAATTTTGCATTTTTGGCTTCTCCTGAAGGTTGCAAATCCCTCATTTTGCAAAATACAACTCAAAATAACTACACAAATTTACACTGTGACAGCATCAGCAAAATGAGCCACCCTGTTCATCTAATTTTACATCGTGCTGAACAGAATGACTTTTTTCATTAATGCCCATCATGTGAATGTAACATAAGGAAGGTGACACAACGATGCAGGTTTGTCACTAACGCTGACGACGTGGTGTCGTATAGGTGTTTTTTCAGAGAACTGTGATGCATTGTTTTTTCCACATATTTTCCCACATAGAAACATGTCACATATAACACATTGTTATTAGAAACAGATGTTGATTTTATCGCTGATGTCTGTGGCTTCTTTCACAATGTCGACACAGTGTCATATGCGCTGGGATACCAGGACACATTTGCATGACATACACACCTGTCCTCCACAATCCAACACACCGCTGTAACACAATACGCAACTAAAACTCAGGAGAGTAATGTTTCATTACATGATGAACAGAAGGTGAAAGCAAAGGAGGGGAGCCGGGGAGGCACAGAGATGCATAACTTAAGTAAAAGCCATTGAAACCCATATTTGTTTACAGATTTGTTTAATAAGGAAAAATATATGCAAACAAATGAATTTGCCTGTGGTTGTAACTGTGTATTAAGATCATCACTTACAAGGCCAGGTCTCCTCTAGCCCTGTACAGAAGCCATCCATCATGCATTATTAAGGAAAATAGAATCTGCATAAAGCAGCAATAATGCCTTGAAGAAGTTTATTTATTTATTTGTTTCATCTTTTTAGGCACTAAGCAGCAGATCCAAGTACTCAGCCGCTGTTAGCTAATTACAAAGCATTTGATCTCTATGCCCCCAGGATGCGCAATTATAACCTTGGTTCAAAATTATGGAAATATTTCACAATTAAAAATAGTAGAATGAAGATCCTCTGACAAAGCTAATAGCAACATCTCACCTATGTGTGTGTGTGTGTGTGTGTGCGTGTGTTGGCTTTTTGTTACTGAACAGGACAGGAGGCTGCTTTAACAAAGCCATTGCCCTGCAACTGCAGCTGACCTCGCTGCAGGGAGACACCAAAGAAAGAAGGAAATATACTGTTTCCCAAAGCTGCACCAGTCATCGTGTACTTGCAGGACTTTAACAAAACAAAAGGTTCTAGTATACAGGTAATGCAGGAAAGTCGCAGCTCTATGAGGTACCTGTAGCTCTAGTTCTGCTGCAGTGCTATCTATGCCGAGATCACACAGGCGCCCCCACTTCTGGCATATCTCTCTGCAGATCGCACTAGGTAGACAATTGTCATTACCATTTTATTAAAACGTGTCCTATCAGCAATATTTCCCCTTCACATATCTAACCTCCTTTCTTTTTTTCTAATTCTAATCATCATTCTCCTCCATCACTTGCTGGGTCTAATTCCCTCTCTTCCTTCGTTTGCAAAGGACCTCTGCTTTCATCCTTGAGAAGAGCTTTAATTCGAAGTGCGACACTGAAT